TCCCGTCTCCTTGTCTCTGGCCTCCCCATGACCCTGCCCCCCCTGCCGCGCTCGCTTGCCCCGCCGTGCCTTCCTTGCGTCGAGGGGCGGCAGCGCGCCGCTCCTCACTGTTTCTCTGCAGACTCTCCACCTGGACGTGTGGGCCCCGGCCCCAGTCGATGGAACGGACCAGGAGCGCAACTTCCTGCTGGTTGTTGACGACTACACACGCTACACCACCGTCTTCCCCTTGCGGCGCAAGGCGGACGTCAGCGGTGTTTTGATCCCCTGGATCCGTGCTACTCGTCTCCAGCTGTACGAGCGTTTTCAGCAGGACTTCCTAAGCCCTGCATCTGCACTCTGACAGGGGTGGTGAGTTCTCCTCTGGCGTCCTTGAGACGTTCTGTCAGGACGAGGGCATCGCCCAGTCGTTCACGCTTCCGGCCTCTCCGCAGCAAAATGGGATCGCTGAGCGTCGCATTGGCCTGATCATGGAGGTTGCTCGTACCTCCATGATCCATGCGGCTGCTCCCCATTTCCTGTGGCCGTTTGCGGTCCGATACGCCGCGCATCAGCTCAACCTCTGGCCCCGTGTCTCTGCTCCAGAGACCTCGCCCACACTCCGTTGGACGGGACAGCCTGGTGATGCGTCGTCGTTTCGGGTCTGGGGCGCGCTCTCCCTTGTTCGCGATACCAAAGCGAGCAAGCTCTCTCCTCGCACTCTCCGCTGTGTCTTCCTGGGCTTCCCCACCGACGCCCCGCCCTGGCAGTTCTACCACCCTGCCTCGCATCGTGTTCTGTCCTCTCAGGACGTCACCTTCGACGAGTCGGTCTGTTACTACCGACTTCACCCACACGCGCCCCACCCGGTCCCCCTCGCGCCTCTCTTCCTGGTACCCGTCCCCCCCCCGATAGATCCCCTTCCCCCACAGGGTCCTGCTCCCTCAGGTGTGTCTCAGGTAGACCCACCCCCCTTGGATGAGCCAGTGGAGATCTCTTCTGACTCCTCTGACCCAGCTGAGGGGGGTGACACCGCCGCCGACGACACGGCGACCACTCACCGCACTCCTCGCTTGGAGACCCCCCCGGGTTTCCCGCCTCGGCCGTCTTCGCCACCTCCGCAGCCTGCTGCTGTGGACTCTGGAGCTGAGACTGCTGGAGCTGGGCCTGGGGTTGGTACGTCTGGGGGTGTCCGCTCTCCTCGTTTGGCTACCCCCCCCGGTTTCTCGCCTCTGCAGCCTTCTGCAGTGGACACTGGAGCTGAGACTGAGGGTGCAGGGACTGAGAGTACTGAGCCTGCGGGTGCTGGGACTGAGGGCACTGAGCCTGCGGGTGCTGGGACTGAGGGTACTGAGACTTTGGGTGCTGACTCTGGGGGTGCTGAGACTTCGGATGACTCTGGGGGTGCTGCGAGTCGTTCTGGAGGTCCTGGAGCTGGAGGTACTGGAGCTACTAGGCCTGGAGGTACTACTGGAGGTACTCGAGGTACTACTGGTGCTGGAGGTACTGGAGCTGCTGCTGGTGCTGGAGGTGCTAGAGCTACCACTACTGGAGGTACTGGAGCTGGACAGCCACCGCAGCCTGCTCTACTTGAGACGCTCTCGCCGCATGCGATTCGTTCGTGGGTCGTTCGGCGAGGCAGTCCTGGTGGTGTAGGGTACGGTCCTGCTGGTGCTGGAGCTACTAGTCCAGGAGGTGCTGCTGGTGCTGGAGGTGCTAGAGGCACTACTGGAGGTACTAGAGGTGCTACGAGTGCTGGAGGTACTGGAGCTGCTAGGCCTGGAGGTGCTCGAGGTGCTACTGGTGCTGGGGGTACTGGAGCTGCTGCTGGTGCTGGAGGTACTGGAGCTGCTAGTACTGGAGGTACTGCCGGTGCTGGAGGTACTGGAGCTACTGGTGCTGGAGGTACTACTGTTACTGGGGGTGCTGGAGCTGCTGGCACTGGAGGTGCTGGTGCTACTGGTGCTGGAGCTGCGGGAGCTGCTGACCCTGGAGGTGCTGGTGCTGCTGGTGCTGGAGGCGTTGGAGCTGGAGGTACTGGAGGTGCTGGAGCTACTGGTCCCGGAGGTGCTCGTACTGGAGGTGCTGGAGCTGCCGGAGCAGGTGGTGCTGCTGGTGCTGGAGGTACTGGAGGTGCTACTGGAGCTGCTGGCACGGGAGGTATTGGAGGTACTAGAGGTGCTGGAGGCGCTGGAGCTGGAGCTGGAGGCACTGGAGGTGCTAGAGGTACTACTGGTGCTCGAGGTGCTGGCGCTGTCGGAGCTCGTGGTGCTGGAGGTGCTGGTGCTACTGGTGCTGGAGGTGTTGCTGGGGGTACTGGAGGAGTTGCTCGTGCTGGAGGTACGGGAGCTGCTGGTGCTCTTCGCCACCTTCTCAGTCTTCCGCCCGGTGCTACTGACTTCCCTATGGCAGGTACTACTCCTCAGTTGCTGTTTCTACCGGCAGACCAGTCATAGCCGCCGCGGCTACCGCACTCCCCACTGCCTGCTCCTGCTCCTTACACTGCGGTGACACAGTCCCTGACTGAGCGTCGAGAGCCTGAGACTCGTGCTTCCACCCCTGAGCGTCGAGAGCCTGACTCTAGCTTTGACCTTGAGCCTGAGCCTAGAGCTGCTGTCCGTGCTCGTGTTCCTCGTGTTCGTCGTCCGCGTGCTCCGGCTGTCCCCGGCACTCACGATATGACACTCCGTCCTTCCTTTGTTCCACAGCGTGTTGTCCTACCGTTACCTCCAGCGTCCTCTCTTCCTGACGTTGCTGACCCTCCGTCTGACCTTGCTCGTGCGTCCAGTCCGACTGTTACTCGCTTCCTTGCTACGGTTGTGACAGACCCTACGTTCTCGTCTCCTGCTGCGTCTGCCTTAGTCGCTGAGCTCGTTGACTTTGCTGCTGTGTACCGCCTAGACTACCTTGCGAGTCTTGTCTCTGACCCTGACCCTGCCTGTCCTCCGTCCGTCGGGGGTGAGACTGCCCTTGGCTGTACTGCCCTTGGCTGTGACGTTCTTGAGGACAGACAGGAGGAGCTGGAGTGCCTTGCGGCCGCTTCACCCCATCACGCGACCATGCTGCTTGCCCCTGAGGGAGACCCGGATGCACTTGACATCCCCACCCCGCGCTCCTACAGGGAGGCGATTTCGGGTGAGTACTCCTCTCAGTGGCAGACAGCCATGGACGCAGAGATGGCTTCCTGGAAGTCCACAGGCACCTACGTCGACGAGGTTCCCCCACCTGGGGCGAACATCGTCAGTGGCATGTGGATTTTCAGGGTGAAGCGGCCGCCGGGTTCTCCGCCTGCCTTCAAGGCACGTTACGTTGCTTGAGGCTTCAGTCAGCGTGAGGGGGTCGACTTCTTTCAGACCTTCTCCCCCACCCCGAAGATGACCACTCTTCGGGTGTTGCTACACGTTGCAGCTCAGCGTGACTACGAGCTGCACTCCCTCGACTTCTCGACAGCTTTCTTGCAGGGTAGCCTTCACGAGGCCATCTGGTTGTGCCGTCCACAGGGCTTCACTGGGTCGTTTCCTAAGGGTACCCAGTGGAGCCTACGGCGACCAGTGTACGGCCAGCGTCAGGCGCCCCGCGAGTGGCACGACATACTGAGGACGACACTTGCGGCTCTTGGGTTTGCTCCTTCGACTGCTGACCCGTCGCTGTTTCTACGCACCGACACTACTCTGCCGACGTTCTACATCCTCGTGTACATCGACGACTTGGTTTTTGCTACTGCTGCTGTCACTGAGGCACTGGCCCTAGTGAAGGCGGAGCTGCAGGAGAGACACACCTGCACTGACCTGGGTGAGCTGCGGAGCTATCTTGGCTTGCAGATCACCCGGGACAGAGCACGGCGCACCATCACCCTGACTTAGTCACACATGGTGCACCAGGTCCTTCAGCGCTTCTGCTTCACGTACTCCTCGCCACAGCCCACTCCTCTGGCTACCGGCCACTCGCTCTCATCTCCACCTTCAGACGAGTCCGTAGAGCCGAGTGGTCTGTACCCAGAGCTTGTGGGTTGCCTCATGTACCTGATGACGTGCACACGACCTGACCTCGCGTACCCTCTCAGCCTCTTGACTCGCTACGTGGCACCTGGTCGACACCGAAAGGTGCACTTTGATGCTGCGAATAGGGTATTGCGTTACTTGTGCAGCACATCGGGCATGGGGCTCGTGCTTGGAGGACGGGGTTCAGTGGTCCTCACAGGACACTCTGACGCTTCTTGGGCCGACGACCAGACGACTCAGCGTTCGTCACAGACATATATCTTTATGTACCACGCTGCTGCTGCGACGACCAGACCACGCTGCTGCAGCTTACTCTTGTTGTACACTGATATATATCTTTATACCTGCTTGTTTACTCTTGCTAGGTTGCGATCAGTGTATTGCCTTGCTATTATAACTCTGCATGTGAACTGGCCTTGTGGCCGCTTGCTTGTGCTGAGATTGTGTGGTGTCCTTGAGATCCACCCTGAGCTTTTCTCTGCTTTGCTTGTTCTCTTGCTTGACTGGTCTTGTGACCGTCTGCTGTGTTTGCTATCTCCCAAGAAGGGAATTGGGTGCAGCTGTATCGCACCCGTCATTATCGAAGCAACGAGCACTTGTATCGGATCAGCCCGTATCCAGGGCAGGAAGGTCAACAGTCGCAAGAGTCAACTGTCGCGACTGTTGGCCATCTGGATCGACGATTGACTTACCATCGAGGAATGGCAACAGGCGTAATTGTCTGTACGATTATACGCAACGACGCTGTAACAATAAGTGCAAAAGACAGAATCACCGTAGAATTGCCAATAGAGTAGTTGGAATAAGGAAATGTACCCCTCAGAGTACATGGCTAGGTAGATCTATTTATAAATTTTTGTTTTAATAAACTTTGTCATGTACATTCACTATGATCATACAAGACATCATCCTACATAATGTCACAACCCACTACAACAAATCAAAAGAATAGTGATACACCCACAAAAAAAAACACAGCATCACGTAATATACAATACAAAATTCTGGTCCTCGTATCAGCTAGTACGAGGAAACGGGGAGCTTCTGGCCGTTGAAGGCGGAGTATCGGCAGTCAGTGGCGGTGACGGCGCTGGTCTCATAGTCCTTCACCTGCCCGTCCAGGAAGCCCCTGCCCTCCGCGCCATCGGCGGACACGGGATGGTGCAGCATGGCAGCGAGCCTAGAGAACTCCACCGTGCGCGACTCCCTGCCGCTTCGGTACGTCTGCCCCATCACGTCGTGCACGCTGCTGCTCACACTCGCGTCAGTGAACATCACATTAATATGGACCTGCGCGTCGTCAGGTGTCTGCAGCAGAGGGTGCGCGGGGCGCAGCTTCAGATCCAACTCCAGGAGCCCGTCGATGCGCAGGTAGTAGTGATCCACGTCGTACGGGCCGGTCTTCTCCTCTCCCACAAACTCGAGCGACACCTTGCCGCCGGCGAGGCTGCGGGTCTCGCCCGGGGTGAGGCGGGGGAGGGGCGTGCCGTCGATCTCGGCGGACGCCAGGAAGCCAGATGCTCCGCGGAGCTGCTCCTTGCCGTTGCGCGCCGTCAGCACCAGCGAGTGCGTGGCGGGCTTAGCGGACACGGTGTTGTCACTGTCGGCGCTGTCGTCGGTCCACATGACGGCTAGCTAGCGGATCCAGGTGCGCACGGCGGAGCCGTTGACGACGAGGGCGGCGCTCTGCGTGGAGCGCGAGTCGAGGTACTCGCGCATGCCCATGTTCACGTGCACCGCGCGGTCCGTGTACAGGCAGAAGTTCTTCTCGGGCAGCCCGTTGAAGTCGAATTTGGTGCCGTGGGCGCCCGTAAAGTGCGGGTCGTTCTCGACGGCGGCGCAGTTCTTGCCGATGCGCACCTTCTTTCCGCCGGAGCCGTTCTTGTCGCTCTTAGTGGGCAAGAGGGATTTAAGGTCGGGCAGGAGGAGGCACTTGCCGCACTCCTTGCCGTTGCACTTGCCCTCGCTGGGCGACGATCTGCGATTTGCGACGAAAAGATGGACATCAGAGCGACAGATTAGGACACGAGCGCAATCCGAAGGGGCAAAACGCGATAGAGAAACCAGTGATTCCAATATATGTTTCGTCGCTGGGCACGAACAGCTGCGCACGCCGACCAAGCGCGTACAACTCTGGGCAAGTACGAGGTGACAGGAACCTTGATTTGAGTCGCCTCAAAATCGGCGGGTTACTCACGGGATGTGCACCCAGAAGCGGCACGCAAAGGGCTTCTTGTTGGTGGCGGTGGCGCCCGCCTTGCATGCCGCGCAGCAGTCCTTGGCGTTCACCGCTCCCGCCGCGCACCACGGGGCGTTGTCCTTCTCCGGCTTTGACATGCACGCCTGGAATTCCGGAACCTGAGGAGAAGAGCGACGGGAAGAATAGGGTACTCAGTACATAAGCACAGAAGCAGCGGGATACAAAACACAGTAGCAAACGTCCATCGTCACATTTGTTGGAGGTCGCGTGAGTTAGAAGCAAACGGTGGTGGGGCAATTGATATGCCCCCAACCCACCGAATGTGTTTCGGTGCTCACCGCTTGAGAGAGCTGCAGGTTTCACGAAGTGTGTGGGTTGACTTCGGAAGACCCACTCGATTGGTGCCACATGGCAACACAAGATGAATCGAGACTCAGGGAGAATTCGATTCGGTGAAATTCGAGAGTCGAATTTCACCCCTTCGATGTTACTCGAACATTCGAGTGTACCGCGGTTCGAGGTTACATGTGCGATTCGACGTTTTGCAGTTCATATAAATGTGTTTGCTTTTGTATTGCATGATATACTGAACATTCTGAATCACTTTGTATGAAGTGCATTCGAACACAAAATCCAGAGAGATTCCTATCCTTCAACATAGAGCATAGTCTTCACGTTTCCAGCTATAGCTCGCTCGTTTCTCAGGCGAACGAAGCAATTGACGGCTCGTTGGAAAGCTAAGACAGAGCTCTATCGTTTAGAACAATTCCCAGTTCCTGCAAATTAGAGGAGAGTCCTTTACATCAACATTCGACAGTGCAGCCTGACGCACCTTCCAGTAGTCATAGGAACCCTTCTCGTAGTCGCAGCCATCGACGCACAACGCCCCTCTCTTTGCTGGGGTCGCCTTCGCATTTGAGGCCGCATTCGCATTAGCGCTCGCCGCGTTCACAACGGCAGATGATGCGAGGAGCACGAGCAGGCTGGCGACAATATAGCGGGCCATCGTGAAGATATCGGTATGTGTTCTAGATCAGCTGAGTGATTGAGTACTAAATGCTTCGACTTTGTTGAGATGGTGAGACGAGGGCTTGCTTATGTACTGATGTGATGAGCACTTGCTCTGGTGAAAAGTCAGGGATTTGAGCAGGTGCTACTGGGGAAAATCGGTTTGGTTCGGCAGGGTTTGTTCAGGGCTGTGTGTGTGGTGGGAGGGGGGGAAAGTGACCAAACCGAACCAGACCAGGCGATTCACATGTGGCTTGGCTAAGCAGCCGTGACCTACCTAGCTGACACCTTGCGTTTTCCACCTGGCAGGCAATGAGAAACCCTTGACTCTATTCCTCAATATTGGGAGCCGGCCAGGTGGGTCTCCCGACCCGCAGATGTACTTCCATCAGCTAGAGTCGCACCTGCATTTTTTTTCGAGATCCGACGTCCGGGCATCTCTTGCCGCACGGGTTGTCTTGTGAGCCTCATAGAAATGTGAATACCTTGCCTATCTATCCAAATTGTTTAGAACATGTGAGTTGATAACAAAGAAAACACACATTTTCTTACTAATTTTGGGCAGGGTGGATCTATTGTAAAATTCTCGTCCTTCATCGTGACTGCCAAGCTCCACATCCACCTGCACCTGCGCTTTCGCCAAGATCCGAAGTTCGCTGTTGCTGGTCAGACCTCAAAGAAACCCCAAGCCCACGATCAGCAGAAGGCCCAAAGTGCATGACCTTGGAGTGCACTCTGTAAACAAGCCATCGCAGAAAGGGACATAGCACATAAACGGTTTTTGTGTACAGTAAGATTCGCATTTCAAAAGCATCCAATACGCATGCCCACAAAAACAGACGCTATACACGTCTAGATCCCAACCAGCACAAAATTCACTCTTCTTCCCTTTCCGTTTTTCCACCCCCCTTTGTCCCAACCACTCTCAGGTGGTGCTGCAGTGGTGAATCCCCCAAGCAAGAAAATATCAAGAAACGTGGACACGGGCGAGCTTTGCGGAGAGTCACTATACAACGGGTTGACTATGAATGAGTTCACGGGTTGCACATGGTGAACTTAGCGTACATACTGTTGGAGTATGAAGGGAATTGCATTTAACATTCCCGTAGGTGCAGCAGTACCGCACCCGCCACTATCGAATCAGCGCTAGCAGCAGTGTCGGATCAGCCTATATCAAGGGCAGGAAGGTCAACAGGCGCAAAGTCAACTGTCGCGACTGCTGACCATCTGGACCGACGTTTGACCTACTGTCGAGGAATGGCAACAGGCGTAACTGCACGTACAGGTTACATGCAGCGACTCGGTAACAAAGAAGAAATGCAATAGTCTGAGTCACTGTAGAAATGTCTGTAAAGCAATTAGAACAAGGGAATGTACCCCTCAGATTACATGGCTAGCTAGACTATTTACATGGTATGAGAGCTAGTTTGGATTATAGGAACTGCTAAAAGGCCTCAAACATGCCCCTGTTACAAGACAAACATGCCAGGCGCAGACTGCGGAAAGGCTGGAGAAAATCCAGTGCAACCCTCCACCAATGTCGCCTCTACAACAACGACTGTGGATACAGCGCTCCTCGAGCAGCTGATCTCCCGCATCAGCGCACTGGAGAGCCATCAGCCGATGAGCATCGACGGCTCCAGCTACGCCCGAAGACCTCCCGATCCTCAAGGAGCTGGATCTGAACGATCCTTCACATTCGATAATCGCGGAGCTCAAGGTTCTGCACAAGCACAACAGACGCATTACGAAGCAATGGCGTCAATGCAGAGCAAATTTCTCTCGACGTCGAAACTCAAGACAACGAAGCCCTTCGATGGGCAATATTTCTACACCTGGAGCTTCGAATTTGAGCTACTAGCTTAGGGCGCTCAGATCTGGATGTATTACGACAGATCATACGCATTCCCAACCAACGGCTCACCTCAGGAGAAGACGCAGTACTACAACGAATCGCTCATGGCCTTCACCGTCTTGATTCGAAATCTGTCGCCCGAAGAACAACTGAGCATTCGCCCCTTCAAGAACGAGTGGGCACCCGAGCAACAGTCCTGGGAACACCTGCGCACCTGCCACATGACAACGGATTCGGTGACACTTAGTCGCCTGCTCAACCAGCTGAACAATGTCAAGATGTTCCCCGGCGAAAAGGCTGGACCATACATCAACCGCTACAGGAACCTGAGAGACCAGTTCAGGAAAAGCGGCGGCAACTTCCCTGACGACATGTTCGTCACAATCATTCTCGCTGGATTGAGTCCGGAATGGCGCCAGTGCAAGTCGCTCCTTCGTACTCAATGGACCCTCAGTGAAACTGCCCTTTGCTCCACGCTCCTTTCCGAACAGAAGGAGATCAACCTGTACAACGAAAGGGGCAACAAGAAGGAGAAGATTGCTTTCTACGCACAAGCGCCACCGGACAAGAGAAAGACTCTTCTGCAAGTATTGCAAGGAGAACAGACATACAATTCAAGACTGCTGGGAACTGAACGGCAACAACAACAACCAAAAGGGTGCCGCTCCTCACCAGCAAGGAGGAGCTCTGGCACGCAACCAGACAGTGTCACCACCAGCCGTCGCCAGCACGTCCCAAACTCCGGCGCGCGACTCTGCGAACACAAACAACAAGGGCAAAAGCAAGGTCTTGACCTGCATGGTGCGTCACGGACCACGTTGCCCAAACCGACACTACCGTTTCTTCCGCAGCTGGGAGGACATGTTCGCATACGCGCCTCAGGAACGACCCGAAGGATCTGTTGAAGACGAGGAAGAAAATGATCCAATGTACGACGAGCTGACAGTCGGACGGATGGAGTACGACTGGGAAATGCCGCAGTGGATCCAAGAGTCGCCGCCTGCGCGCACAGCGTACGATGAAGAAGGATATTATTATGACTACAAGAACGAGCACGACATGGAGCATCACATCACTCCGAAACTCGCCAACCTTGCCAAGGCTAAGAAAGAAGTCAACACGTGGTACCTGGATAGCTGCTGTGGCCAACATATGGTGTCATCAGACGTCTTCATTCTCAACAAGGAACTACTCTTCAACGAAGTGGAGATCACCGTTGCCAACAGTCAGACTATCTATGCCAGAAGCCGCGGACAGGTCCAGCTGGAGTCACACGACACCAGCTAAGCGATGTCCTCATAAGCGATGTCCCCATCGTGCCGGAACTCCGGTACAATCTTTTGTCCCTCCACCAGCTGATGAAGTGCGGAGTCGGCCTGCAAACAACCGGAAACGAGATGCACTTAATATACGACGGAATCTTCATCGGGAAAGCGACGAGTGTGGAAGGAGTATTCGTGCTCGACTTCGAGTCACCCAGAACCTCCGGCGACAACGAGCACATCCTCGTCCTTGATCCACCGGGCCACCCGTCACCACCAAGGTGGAGTCACCCAGAAGAGACCGACTATCAGCAACCGGGTCTCGACGACACCTTCCGCGCTCTTGCCGTACCCGTCGCCTCGACCACGAACCCTGCAGAAACAGGAACGCAAGCAGTGGAAGAAGGAGAGGAGACCACGTCAGAAACGACCGTCGCACCAACTGAACCAACAAGCACGGAACCAACACGGGCCTTCTGGCATCCCATTCAACAACCTACCGGATGGAACACAACCGAGGGCTGGGACGCAGTGGACATGCGCTGGATCATGGACAACACCGCGCTGGGAGAGGCCATCGCAGCTGAAACTGGATGGGGAAACGTCGCCGAAGGACCTGCAGCAGAGGAAGCAGAAGCAGCAAAAGAACCAGAAGTCATCGAGGAGGAACCAGAAGCAGAAGAAGAAGAGTCACTCACGGAATATGGTCCTCACCCCATCCCTATCACAACGGACGGCAGGGACTATCACCGCATCGAGACAAGGGGAGCGGCGATCGGCGACACCGAAGGAGAAGTCACACAACCAGACGATCGTCGTCCGCAACCCTCGACCCCGACTTCCGAAGGGCCGCTGGAGCTTCCCGTGACGATCGACACCAACACTATCGGCGACACCAGCGGGGCGTACCACGTCGCGACTCTCACGGCAGCGGCAGTCCAAGTCACCGTCCCCGACGAACCTGCAGAACAAGTCGGACCGGAAACCGCAGCAGCAATATTAGCACGGGAGA